TATGCTACATTCACAACTTTATGTTACCTGATCAGTAATATATGTAATAATTAGTTAATGATTACAATATATTAAATGAAATCTAAATAAATATATTTAACTTTAATAATCTTTATAGTAATTATGATAAGATGTATCTATTAACAATGAAATAGAGTAATTATCTATTTATGATAAAATATATCAGCACTTGAGATTTTCCAGCGGAGCAAGAAATATAAGGATAGCAAGGCAAGTCTGATCCCGAGAATGATGGCTACTACATATTGATTTCCAACATGTATGGGATCTGAACAAATTCTCGAATCATTCACCTTATGCTGTGTAGCAAATATACTATCCAGAAGTGGAAACTGCAACATTTAGTTCTGCCGAGATTTATAAGGTTTAAAAAAAATTGCAAGATCAACATCGGATAAAGTACACCAAAGTAATAAAGAACAGAGAAGGAATGATAAGGATAACAATACAACATCATTGTAAATTGACATTGAAAATCCTTTCAAATGTTGGATCCAACACCTTGAGAGTAGTTAAGCACTTCAACATAATTGCAAACAAAAATAAGTTTCTTCCCCTTTTGGGTTCTCGTTATCATTCCGATCGGGTTGGGGGTGCACTCGCACGAATTCATCTTTAACCGGATGGGTAGTTTGCCTTGAACGAATTCATCTTGGTGTTAAATGGAGAGAAAAGTTGACATGTAAAAGGATAGATGGGTTTTAAATGTTTTTTGATGGTAGATTAAACACCCATAAATTTAGTGCAAGGCAAGGGGAGACGAGAGCTGTTTAGCACTGAGCGATGGTTAGATAAGTTTTAATAAATAAAAAACGATGTAAATCTCTAATCAAATTGATAAAATAATCAAACAATAATGATAAGAGTAAAGTATATAAATAGTCCCCAAACTTTTAGGACAATTATATTTTGATCATCTAACTTTTAAAACTTATAATACAATCACTGAACTTTTAATTCGTTTTCAATAAAATACGTGACAGTTACCTCCCGTTATCTTCTTCTTTTTCATGAAGATGGTGAAACACCCCGACATAGTCGAATTACAAGAAGTCATGGCGAGCAAAACCAAGATTTACTTCGCCATGGAACTCGTCTGCGGCAGAGAACTCTTCACGAAAGTCGCCAAGGGCCGCCTCGAGAAAGATATGGCGAGAGTTTACTTCCAATCCGCCGTCGATTTCTGTCACAGCTGCGGCGTTTACCACCGCGACTTGAATCTGGAGAATCTGCTGTTGGACGAAGATGGGAACTTGAAAGTTACGGATTTTGGTCTCAATGCTTTCACAATCACCGAACACTTGAAACAAGATGAGTTGTTACACACGAGTTGTGGAACGTCGGCTTATGTCGCCCCCGATGTTATCTTTTATGTTCTTCTCGTCGGATTCGTACCGTTTCAAGACGATAACTTGATCTGGTGTATAGAAAATTTTACAGAGGAGATTTCAAGTGTCCGCCATGGTTTTCACCTGAAGCTCGTCGGTTAATCACTAAGCTTTTAGACCCAAATCTGAAAACTCGAATCACCATCTCCAAGATCATGGACTCATCTTGGTTCAAAAAAAACAAAATCCAAAATCATTAAATCCAAGGAAGAGTTTGAATTTGAATGTTTCAACGACGACAAATCATCGACGTCGGAAACTTTGAACGCATTCCACATAATTTCTCTACCGGGGGGATTCGATTTATCGTCGTTGTTCGAGGAGAAGAAGAGAGAAGAGAAACGCGAACTGTGATTCGTGACGACGAAGCCGACGAGCAGTGTGATATCGATTTGTCGTCGTTGAAGGTGCACAAGAAAAATGCCGAAAATAGTTTTGTTGTTGTGCTCTGGTGGAGCAACAACTAAAAGAAGGAGAAGAATAAGAAGATAACACGAGGTAACTGCCATGTACGGAAGGTAAGGATTTTATTGAAGAACGAATTAAAATTTTTAGTGACTGAACTGTAATTTTTAAAAGTTGTATGACCAAAATACAAACATCTTAAAATTTTGGAGATTATTTATATATTTTATCTTAATAATTATATATATAAATATATTAATTTTTAATTATGATATCAAATTTCTTTATCAAATATTAATGATAAATAACTTAATTAATATCATTAAATAACTAAGTGTCGAAGAAAATTAATAAGAAGATGATCAAATTAAAATTATCATAATTTACCGATTATCTGAATAATTTACCTTATATTTAATCCAATGGTTCATATCATACCCTTTGACTCCAACTCCAATCCAACGGTTTCTATTCGTTTAGCCTTCACTTAGCGGCAACCTAGTGTATGTATTTTAGAAACCTCATTCAACATGAACTACAAAGAACTTTCGAACGAATAGGCGAAATAGACGAAGAGTTCCTTCAGTTTACGGTCTCGCAGACATCGTATTAAATTATGCTGTTATTGGTTTAAGGTAAATTCCGTTTTCATCTTCTGATTTTCTATCTTCTACATGTCTCTGCTTTGCCCCCACCCCCTTTGTCGGCGGCGAATTTCCCCTTGTTTTCCGGGCTTTCTATTTTGAAGGGAATAAATTTCTGGGTTTACTACGGTTTCAGTTTTCTGCTCTGGAGTTGCATATAACGAGGGTGGGAGTTGATTAGTGTCCCACTTCTGATTACCAATAGATAGGATTGAAAATTTAGAAATAATTCAATGTTCAAGCCTACTGGGTTTTCTGGGGAGTTAGTATATAACAATTTTGTTTAATTTTAAACTTCTTTTATTATGATGAAACTTTAGCTATTCACGATTCATAAATTTGCTAATTGCTATCGTTTTGTCCTTCCGAGTTGGCATTTGTTATGTTGTTCTTTCCGCTACTGATATTCGATATTTCATTGATAAATGCAGGATTAGTTGGAATTGGTGTCATTTTTATCCTAGTGAAGAAAATTTGTCCTAGTAAAAAGGGAAGCTTTAGATATGAAGCTGTGAAAGCTACATTCTTGAATGCCTGGAGCTGAAAAGTATGGTTAACCTAGGCCTTTGAGCTAGGCTAAGAAAATAAACAAGTACATTTACCCTTAAACTGCGATTATTTCATAGGTTACCAAAGGGTGAAACATATCCCGTTAGGAAGTTCCCATAAAACAAGAACCAAAGATATAACCAAGGGGATTCAATGATAAGGGTACTAGGCAGGGCACTAGACAATAGCTGCTAACTATCGAGACGAGAGGATATCACCCCAAGTAATGATGCTTCGAGGCCAAGGCCAAAGGCTGATTATTTCACACCCGTTTCTGTTAACCTTCCACACTCTAAAATCTTCCCACTCATTGCACCATTTAACCCTAAAAATACCTGGAAAACCCAAACTGGTGCATCTCCCTCTAGCATCCAACAAGCCGGTCCAAACCCATCGGTGCAAGCCACAAACAAGATCCCAAGATGACGGAATCCCAATCGATGATGTCAAAGTCATTGCCAAATTCAAAACGAGGCACAACTATATTCGTGTGCTACAAGTTTCTCGAAGAGCCGACCACCCTTTTGCCGGCTCTAGGCTTCTACTCCTCGATTCCCCAGGAAACATCCACAGCATTTCATTCCTATTCAAATCACTCCCCAACACTTCGACGTTTTTGCTACTTTGCCTCCCATTTTACCCCCTGGACCTGTTGGCATTCTAGGTTTTGGGGCAGGCTCCGCAGCTCGCTTGATGCTTGAATCATACCCTGAATTGAGAATACATGGATGGGAACTTGACCCCTCTGTGGTTGAAGTTGGAAGAGAATATTTTGGCCTCGAAAAGCTTGAAAAACAATACCCGGATAGGCTTTACATTTACATTGGAAACGCGTTGAGAGCTAGTATTAGAAACGGGTTTGCAGGTATTTTAGTGGATTTATTCAGTAAACGCGTTGAGAGCTAGTATTAAAGGTTGACCTTCAAGCCGACCAAAACCTTGAAATATTTTCCAAACAGATGCTTTTATTCCTCTCCATTCAATTATATTTTCTGCTGAATGCAGGAATCTTGGGACCATTAAAATTTTAATTGTTAATTGACGATTTAATTATTTAAAAATATAGTTTTCAATTTGGACATTGATTGAATCTTTTTCTTCTTTTTTTGAATAGTCAAATAAAAGCATAGGATTATTACGTATTCCACCGGCTAGACTGCCCGTTACCATCCCCGTAGTAGCTGACACGTTCATACACAGACAAAACCAACAACTGTTTCCTTCGTTTCTTGGTTTTTTTATGCTTGCAATTTCAGTGGTTTACTATAATTTTAAAGATTTTCTTTTTAAGAAAAATATTAATATTTGTTATTTTTTTCGAAATATAAAGGCCACTTTCTTTAAAAAGTACCTAGTTAATCGTACGAGTAAGTAAATAAGGTTAGACGAACTCAACGAAGGAATTTCAGTTTACGGACATCGAATGAAGCTGTTTTTCGTTTCACTTAACGTGGTACATTCCATGTTCTCCTCTGATTTTCTTCTTGATGTATGTCTCTTCTTTTCTTATGAAGTGTGTTTTTTCCCCCTTAGTCGGCGGTTTATTCTCCCCAGTTTTTTGGGCTTTTATCTTAAGGGGTATAAGTTTCTGGGTTTATTTCGGTTTCCATTTCCTCCCCTTTGTTAATCTGTTTCTGTAACTGCATTATAACGTAGAGGCCGTGAGCTGATTGTTGTCTCACATCTGATTGTCTAGAAAATTAAAAAGAAAAATTCAAGTTTTACTGAATTAAAATGATAATCACTTGTTTAATTGCTTTTATCTTTTAGTTTGTTCCTTTGGGTATCGGATGATAAAACTTTAACCATTCACGATTCATAAAATTGGTACATTCTCCCCCTTCGAATTAGCATTTGAATGATCCTTTGTTTTCGTGCATATTCTGCTACTAACATTCGATATTTCATTGACAAATGCAGGATTATACGCTTGCTTAGAGTTTCAAAGTCTAGCTGGACTGTGGCGCGGACTGTTCTGATTTTGATTTGGTGAGACTTACCCTGTGTGATATAGTGAAGGGTTTATTCATGTAGACGGGGATAGAATGTAGTAAGTTTACCAGTAGTGGGGAATATAATTATCTTAGGTTCAGGAAGAATTAGAGGTTTTATTTTGAATGGATCCCTTGCTTGCAAGAGAAAGAGATATCGAAGTAGATCTCGAAAGTGGTGGGACTACCAGTGAAGATTAAAGAATAAGAGATCATGGTTCATCAAGTTTACAAACAAAGAGAAATATCAGTGGAGTTTGGCGTGATCTTTGGAGCTTCGATAGAATAGTCAAGGGTGAAAATGGCATAAACTCATGTAGTAGTTCTTTGAATTTCGGGGCAGTTGAGGGTGAGAATGTAGAGTTCTTGATGGACAAGAATTCGGAAGGAGAAGAGAATCGTGAACTTGTGGCGCTGGCAGTGAAGAACTTAAGGGAAGCGAAGTGCAAGAAGACAAACACTAGGAAATCACCCAAACCACCACGGCCTCCAAAAGGTCCATTGTTGGATGCTGCTGACCAGAAGTTGGTGAGGGAGATTGCAGAACTTGCCATGAGAAAACGTGCTAGGATGAAACGGCTTAAAACAATGAAGAGGATGAAGGACGCAAAGGCCTCATCGTCAAGCACTAGCCTTTTTGCTATGGTCATCACAGTTCTCTTTTGCTTTGTCATATTCTTTCAAGGTATTTGACATCGTTTGAGTTTAACAATTATTCTCATCCTCATAAAAAATTGACTCCTATCCAAATTACTGGTATAAATATCATGGACTGTACAGTACGAATATGGGAAATAACAAGATACCTTGGCTTACTTCAAATTTGAATAACCTACCATTTCATTTCCCAGTTTTCTCAAATAACATTGTCATTGTTTCCAATTACCAGAAAGATTTAGCTTTAGCTTGCTGAATAAGCTCAATTTGTGTTATTACATAGATTACGAATCTTAACTTTGTTGAGTATCTCTGCTTCAACAATGTGACATGTTTAGTCTTATGACATTGTAATACAATTTCAACTTCTCCAAGATTTCCCAAGTATTGCAAAATCATTTGTAAAATGAAAGCAAAATCAAAACTGCTACATCAACTCTCTGTATATTGATTTGTTTGCCTGGAAAGACAAAAAAGCCTAGAAAATGTTATAAAAAGGATATCTGGAATGCCATGTGAAGTTGTTTATTATAGAAGCATTAAATATTATTTTCAATTTAGAGTTCTTGAGCTGTGAATGGAGTGATTATTTTGCAACCTTGATTGAAAGAAATTGTTTACGAGGATTGAAAGAAATTGTTTACGAGTTAACACTGCTTAAGGTTGCCTTTCCTAGTTATTGACTTGCTTAGTCACCAATTCTTATAGCCGTTAGCTTGAAATTTTGAGTCGTAGACAAACTATAGTTTCATTAATAATGCTTTTGCAGTTCTTGTTTTGAATGTTTCGACTTTCGAGGTAGTACAAAGAAGCATTCTTTCAGCTCAGATTGGTGCCCCGAAGATTGTCTTCTTTTCGCTCCTCTAATTTCTTTTTACCTTCCTATGAAAATGTTCATAAGCATTTTATGCCTCAGCCAATTGCTATCGATTTTGTATGCAAAATTTGAGGTTCACAATCCAAAATTTTCCTTCTGTGAAGCTGCAATTTCTGGGATCTGCCTGACATTGCTTTGCTTGTAGGTATATGTATCAGACGCTGTGCAAGTGTGATGTCAGAGGGGTCTCCTTCACCCTCAGTTGGCTCAAGTGAAGGCCTGATTTCTGTTCAGTTTTACAAGAGCTTTCCTATGACCGGAAATCACGATCACGATCTTCCCGGGTACATATTCCTTTCACTTTCTCCTCTTCCTAATATATATATATATATATATATGGATAAGTTATTCATTCATAAGATCAGTTCAAAGACATGTCCATTTTTTCTGAATGCTGATAATTGATATAAAAAAATGCAATGATGGATTTTCCGAATGTTACTTGTAAATGATGCAGCTTGTTAGAATAGCAGGTTTCTGATTCAGTTGTTGGGAAGAAACCAGAAAAATAGCTGCCGGAGTTGCCAATGCCGTATTATGTGTAGTCATGTACAATGGTTTCCTCGGTCTAACTAACGTAAACAAAATTTTGATTGCGAGCTATGCTGATTTCTGTATTCATGAATTGAATGCCTAGCTCCAGTTATTGTACAGTCTAGTTAGTAATGTAACTTATTGCATGAGAATATCTAGTAGTCAATGGGGTTTAACCAGCCATTGTTAGGATGTGTTGACTGGTGGTGATAGAATTAAAAAAAAAAACATACATTTACTTGTCAAAGAAGAAAATGATTGCATTTAGTAATTACGCACGGACCCTTTAAATCGTCCACGATCTCTATCCCTGAATTCCAGAATTCCACTGATATTGTGGCAATTGTTCATAAAACCCCATAATTCCAGCTTGGGTGTGCCTCGACATGTCTTGAAGTTGATGTGTTTGATTTTGTACTGCGATACTACTAGCAACTACACAGGATTGTTTCTTTTTGGTGAGCTTTGGTGTCAATGACGATACCATAAGCACCCTGTATGCTGTATGTTTGTCAGCTTGAGGTGATGACAACCATCACCGATTCATATCCGGCAGGCAAGCCGAACAGAATAGCGGATATGTGCATCATCTCGAGCACCGGGTGCCCACGACCAAATTGAAAAGGTATAAATACAAAGACTATACGCTAATAATACGATAATATTAAGAGTTAAATGTATTATTATATCAATTAAAAACCATACCATCATTGCGGTTAGCGATTTCGCACGTAATGGCCAAAATAATATCTCAACAATTAGATGACTAGTGGTACATTTTATCCATTTTATTCCGGAAGAATCAATTTCAACCACACTTTTCCCAAATGCCAATTCTTAAATTAAAAGCAGTTCCGGGGGCATTTTGGACCTTTCGGGGTCCTTTGTCATGGATTGGGCTGGCTTTGATTTGATATCTTAATTAAGAAAATTGTGACAGGAAAAGTAGGAGCTTCCCGGTCTTTGTAGCAATTAAGAATAATGTTTGCAGTTTATTTCCAAAAAGCGGTCCAAAGCAATTGCATTCCTAAGGCTTTTAAGGTATAATAATTGCTTGCAAATTGCAAACAATCAACTTTAACTTTGTTGAGTCTAGTTGTAACGATATAGCAAAACGTAGCCGGAACCATGTTCGTATGAAACAACAAAAAGTAGTCAATTAAGGTACACAACAGCATTAAATATCGTCCCTTTCGTTTGAGAGCATAACGTAACGTTGTTTATTTCTTCAACACAAAAATACATTTTCCAGACGGATAATTGGTCAAACAAGGTCGCTTTTACTGTTTGTACTTCATCTACCGCTTTATCGAGTGAACACAATCACCAATGGAAAACAAACAAGTCTGTTTATGGTAGGGTATCCGTTAAACAGTCCCTTTCCATTCACATTCATGAAAGAAACGCCATAAAAGTTACAACATAACATGTCCATAAATCTCAACAGCCAAGGACGCATGCAGGGACAATAATATGTGATATGCTAAATAAAATAATTGTTGACCACACAATACAATTTAAAGATATATGTGTCCATTGATACACTATATGCTACATCCTATTATATCTATACTCTTTTTTATATTACATTTTAATTATTTTATATATTGTGTTTATGTCATGTATTTATTTATTATTTTTAAATATTTTTATATTGTAAAAAGAAACATTTGTTATAATAATAACTTAATTTAGAGACATATTATATTCGTGACACGGTCATAATAATTTTATTTAAATAATTTATTAGAATGATACCATTTTTAAATAAATTATTTAATTATTTGTGATTTACTTTTCAATGATATATGTAAAAGCCAAAAGGGTTAATCTTTACATTAGCTTACTGGCCAGTTTATACAGCTAGAAAAATATTTTTTATTTTGATTTTACATAATGTATATTCAAAGAGTTGACCCACAAACTGACACTATTTAAAAAGTTGGCCCACATATTTACATCAATGTCACCACAGTTAATTTATCAATCATTGCCAAGTCAACTTAGGTTCTATACTTAATTAACTATTCAAAACAAAAAGGATTATATACTTAATTCTTAATAATAATGTATACATATTTTATAGATGGAATTGCACGAATTCCAATCTTCTAAAAAAATAACATTTTTTTACCATTGACCACCCAATAAATTTATTTTAAAATATTTTTAAATCTACAAGTGATTATATTGTAAGTGGATCTGTTTTATTTAAATTATTTTTAAGATTCATACCAATTATATATTTATTGCACGTTATTTTTATAGTGTCGTATTTATACTTTATTCTATTTTAATTTATCTCATATTTAAATTATTTATTATAATTATTAAATTATAATTATAAATTTATTTGCATTTCTACACTTAAATAGTAATGACATATAAAAAAATTTATATACCAACACTGAGTTGATCTAGTAAGACGAGACACTAGATCCTTTAAGCAAGGGCAGGGGTTCAAATCTTGGTATTTGTGAATTGAGTAAACTGAGTTGGGGGGTCAACTTTGCCTCTGCAATACTTGATCCGAATTAGTTGATTAATTAATTGGATAGTGATTGTTAATATAAAAATATAAAAAATCTTATATATTCATTCATTATTTCTAAAAAACATTATTTTTATAATTATTCTATTCTTAAATAGTATTATATAAAGGCATAATGTCAAAATCAACCCCCAACATTTATCAAAATGGCTACTTTGCCACTTTTTTATTTTTAGCATTTTGGCCCCCTAATGTTTTATTTTAGGGTAAAAGATCATAATATTTGACAGAATAATCACTTTGTCCCTTATTCTTTTTTTTTAGTGCATTTTATCCCTCAATGTTTGATTTTAGGTTAAAAAACTCATATTTTGAAGAGTTAATTGTGTGTTAACTAATAATTTTTATCTATAGAGGGAGCTTTTTGCTCAAAAGTGAAACGTTAGAGGCCAAAATGCTAAAGAAAAGAATGTGGACCAAAGTGATATTTTAATAAATGTTGGGGGCTATTTTTGAAATTATGTCTATATAAAAATATATTTTTATTTTTATATTATATCATGTAATATTTTTGTATCACTTTGTTCGGGCTTGGAGACGAAGCTTTGGGAGATTTACGAAGAGCTGATTGCTGCTTGGGAGATGGGGAATAGAAAGATTATTGTTGAAACGAATAGTAAAGAGACACGGTCATTACTTGAGCAAATAGAGAAGACGAAAATGGTGTCATCAATGATTTCGCATATCGTCATGCTCTTGTCGCGAGATTTAAATTTATTGCATCGTCATGTTTCTAGAAGTCTGCAATCTGCGTATCCCTTTGGATATCTTGTTTTCTACCAGCCTCCTGCTGCAGTCTGCATGTTGCTACAGAATGATCTCCGCATGGGCAATGGGCAACCTGCTATACGTATACAATAATTACAGTTTCTTTCTCTTGTATTCAAAAAAAAAAAAAAAAGAGTTTATAATCGGCTTAAGAATAATATTTGGATTTTAGTACTTTGAATTTTAACACGCTAAAAAAGTATGTCTAAAATATACTCACACAAAGTCTTAGTCACAAAAACTTTTTGTCGAGGTCAACTTTATACAATAAAATATTATTTTCTTCGAAATAAATGATTTTGTCATGTCAATATCGATTGCTACCAGTTTATAACAAAACTAAGGAGATTTTTTTGAAAAGAAATATATAATATTATATGTTACTACAATTTTAATTTGATATAATTAAATATATTAAAATTTTAATGAGTTTAGTTTTCAAATTATTAACACTTTTATTCCTATAAGGTAATTTTTAATTTTTTAATTTTTAAGTATCATATTCGAGTATCATAAATATCAGGAGTATGTACATTTAATGTTAAATGATTGAGAGAGATTGAATAGATAATATCTTATATCTTGTAGTCATCCAGAATTAATAAAAAATGATTTTTTTGGGTAAACTATATAAATAGTCACCTAAATTTGAGGGTACTTGCATTTTTGTCACTGAATTTTTGGCTAATTTTGATGGTGCTTATTTGTCCGCAATCTAGTGCTTCTGGCGGCTGGCGCAGATCTTGTGGTACGTAGCTCGGAGGGGGTGGATCTCGTGGCTGCTTCAGCACCTATTTCTGCGGTTGCTACTGCTTCGAGGCGGAACTCACGGCCTTGGTTTGGGCTCTCAGACTAGTGGTAGATGCTGGGCATACTAATATCATTTTTGAAAGTGATTGTTTGACGGTCATCCGTTATTTCTGGTCATCGCTGATACCCCACGGCTCCTCTCATTTTTTGATTGCCAAAGCTCGATCTTAGTTGGGATCCTTTGTTTCATCCTCGGTGCAGCATGTTCTTGGTTCAATTTTTAGATTTTCAATTTACTCAAAATTTCCAACTAAGAACTCACGTCCAGCACCGTTTGTTGACTAGTCCAGTTGCTCATCATTAATTGATTTCTCCTATGGCATCATGTCAATATTTGCAACTTGGACTCCCTCTCATAAGTCATAACCGTGTAGTTTTATACCAGTGGGCCAATCGGCTTAAACCGTGTTGAACTGATCTATATATAGAGGTAAACATATGTACATCTTCACTCAACGAATACCTTTTGTTGGAACTGAAAAAAATGGCCAAGTTTTTATGAACTATTTTTCCTTCTTCTTTTTCCTCTACCGAGTCGTCTTCAGACCAGCTAAAACCCCCAAAGCTCTCCACAGAAACGTGAGCAATCTTCATGCAAACGAAGGTCAAATGTTGTACCACAAGTACCCTTCTTTTGCTCACATATCGTCAAATGTATCAAAAGACCAAACCCTGGTGGTTTTTAGTGTCGAAGAGGCTTTGTTGAAATCTTCATCTCTGTTCCCTTACTTCATGCTCGTGGCCTTCGAAGCCGGAGGGTTGTTAAGGGCTTTTCTTCTCTTTGTTTTATATCCATTTCTATGCCTTGTCAGTGAAGAAATGGGGCTGAATATAATGGTATTCGTTTGCTTCTTTGGGATAAAAACAAAGAGTTTCAGAGTCGGAAGTGCTGTTTTGCCCAAGTTTTTCCTGGAGGATGTCGCGTTGGAAACACTGGAGATGTTGAAGAAAGGAGGTAAAAAAGTGGGTTTCAGTAACATTCCTCGAGTGATGGTCGAGAGTTTCTTGAGGGATTATCTGGGGATTGATTGTGTCGTCGGAAGAGAGATGAAGGTGTTCGGTGGCTACTTCTTGGGTGTCATGGAAGAGAAGAAAAGAAGCAAAGATGCTTTGGAGACGATTATCGGAAGCCTAGCAGGTCTGGGAAGTTATCGTGATGTTATTGGCATCAGTAGCTTCAAGGAATCACTTCAATATCATTTGTCTTCTCATTGCAATGTAATTTTGACATTCTTTTACTCAGAGCTCTACTAGACTTACTCCCTGGTTATCTGTTGCTGATTTATTGCGTTTGGTGCAACAGGAAATCTACTTGGTGAGAAGAGCCGACAAAAGAAGCTGGCAACACGTACCAAGAGAGGAGTACATGAAACCACTCATTTTCCACGATGGGAGACTAGCTTTCATCCCAACACCATTAGCCACACTCACCATGTTCATGTGGCTCCCCTTTGGGTTCACCCTTTCAATCATCCGAGCCATTATTGCCTTAATTCTTCCCCATAAACTTTCAGTCCCCATATTAGCCTACACCGGGTTCCAACTCTCCCTTTCTTCCGACCCGTCACTCGAAAACTTAAACATCACTCGGAAAACCAAAGGCCGGCTTTACGTTTGCAACCATAGAACACTCCTGGATCCACTCTACCTTTCGTTTTCATTACAGAAAGATCTCGCCGCCGTCACTTACAGCTTAAGCAGGCTGTCGGAGCTCTTAGCGCCGATAAAAACCGTGAGATTAACCAGGGATCGTGATCGAGACGGTAAGATGATGGGAAAGCTATTAAACCAGGGGGACCTAGTTGTTTGCCCCGAAGGAACCACGTGTAGAGAGCCTTATCTATTGAGGTTCAGCCCTTTGTTTACTGAGATGAGCGATAATATAGTCCCTGTTGCCATGGACAGCCATGTTAGCATGTTCTATGGCACAACAGCTGGAGGGATGAAATGCTTGGACCCACTTTTCTTCATCACGAACCCACGTCCAAGCTACAATGTACAGGTCCTCGCTGGTGTGTCGGGCGTGCAGTCTTGTGCCGATAACAGCGAAACATTGAGGTTCGACGTGGCTAATCATGTGCAGAGTGAGATTGGGAAGGCACTGGGATTTAGTTGCACCAGGCTTACAAGAAGAGATAAGTACTTGATCTTGGCAGGCAATGAAGGAACAGTAAATAAACACTAACTGCTAGCATAAACAATTTTTTTCCGTTGTATAACTTTTAAGATTGTACACTCTATTTGATTGATAGTAAATGCTTTATTAGTTATTTGCACATATATATATATTCATATATTTATATATAATCGATCATAATTTAATGTGTTTTTCAAATTGTACTAATTAAGGACTTGTTTTTTTATACAAACAATTAAAAGTTGTTAGTTTTATTAAAAAAAAGAACTATTTATAATTATAATGAAGGTATACATCTATAAACGTAAATTAAAAATATTTTTATATTTTTTATAATCATTAACCTAAGGACTTAGTCATTTGATATCATACAAGAAAAATGTTAAAAATTCATCTAAAAACTTGAATAAAATATAGATACGAGAAGACCTGATTGCATCGACAAACGAACTACAATATATAATCAAACTACTGAAAGACCAATGTCAATCACAAATCAAAGTCAACCATCGATAGAAAAATATCACCGAACTCAAATCGCGTATTCAAATCTAATTAAATGGTTTAAAGTAGAAAATATCAACATAATAACAAATAAACATAATATTGATCAGTTGATAAGGTCAAATCAAACCCTAACAAACTTAAATAAAAAGAACGATCAAACAATCGATAAAAATGATCAAAAACATGTCAAAAGGCAGAGGAAAATATCATAAATACGAACGAAAACGTATCATAAAGACAAAGCTATTAGAAAATAAAAACAAAAGAAAAATAAAGATAAAATATAATAAATAAAAAATTATCAATTACTAACACTAAAATCTGTGTCGTGGCCAATGAGACGAAGATCAATCGAGGAGTTGTTAAATTTTATAAAAGTTAAAATAAGTCGATATTTGTGAAAAATACATGCATTTAAACAGTTGAGTATGTTAATCTAATTTATGCAGAAAAAAAAATGAAAAGGGAAACAGTGTGAAGTAAATGGTGCCATTTTCGTAGCAGGTTTATTATGAGTCACGACTCTTTTAAAGTTTTATTTTATTTTGGAATATTCCACATTTATTATAATTGATATTCACACTTTTTTTGCATTAATCTTTTTTGTTATCATTGAAAGAAAATATATTTTGATCATTTTTCAACTAAATTATTACATGATTAAGCTGTTGTATTAATTCAGAGATTTTAACAATAAATTGTATTAGTTGAACCCATCAAGCAACATCAATGATAAAAGAGAATATTATTCTCCTTAAAAGTTTTAAGTTGAAGTAGTTACATGTGTATATACGTTATCAATGGTTTTAATAATTCTAAACATATATTAATTCGTAATCATTTCAAATTATAAAAAAAAAATAAGAATGTGTTAAACGGTTAAAACTAAACCCTAAACCACATACATATTTTCGATATAAATCATTTTTGAGGAAAAGAAGAAGAAATTACTGGTACGAAAATAACGAGGGCAGATCCTACGTAGAAGTCTAAACATGTACAGAATCAAATACTTTTATTTCCCGAAATCAGCAGTGACTAAACAAATGGGTTTTTCTAATTCTGATGCTTTAAGCGACATCATTCAAAAATATATTGAACTTTTCCTACTTAACAGCAAAAATTACAAAAAGCCTGGTCAAAGGGAATGGTACTATGAAGCTCCTGCAACTGCTCCTAATAACCCCGAAAACTTGCTATGAATCACATAACCGGGCCGCTGAGAATTTGGCCAATCACAATATCATCAATTGGTTATATGAGGCCACATACAATTTGAGTGCTCACCCTTTCTTACAGATCAGAAGCCTTCATTTTTCTTGGCCTTTTATGAGCTCCTGCTGCTGGTGAAGATGGAGTCTCGGATGCCCTCCAAGGCCCCAGCTCCCTACAGTACACATGTACACATCGTAAGACAAGATAAGTTCTAAACTTGGGACATAGGGAAAAATTACAAAGGCATTAAAATAATATATAACCTTTCGTTTTTGCTCCCTTTTTACACCTCTATCACCTGGAATTACCATCAAATATGAAAGTAATCAAAACCATTAAACTCACCTATCTCGGATAAAAGAAATAAAGGAAAATTATATATATGTATATTACCTCCAAAACTAATGGTGTTGGGGACAAACGTGTGGTCCTGATCTGCAGCACGTTGTGATCGCTGCTCGATTGATAGACACCCCCCCCCCCCAAAAAAAAATTCAATATTTGAACCATTGACACAATAACAACGTGCCTGGCATATCACCATAGGAACCATCACGGAAAGATGAACCCTCTGCCTCCTTGTATTGCAACTGTCAAAAAGACGCAGAATTCATAAAACTGTGAAAGCAGCACACTGCACACCACTTACAATACTGTACACTACTCTAATCAATCATAATTTGTAAACTTTTAAAGCCATGGCTTAACTTCTGTACACAAACATTCAGGACCCATATGAAAATGAGAATTACCATGACTAAATTCATTCTTTTTTTCTTAAATAATAAATTTGGTAAGTGGAGTTGGAGTGTGAACTATTTGAGCAAAGTTACACAATAACTTTGCAGGAATTGTTTAACTATAGATCTCAACATGGTTCAACCCCCACTGCATAAACGGACTTTACATTATAAGAAAAGCAGCACAAAGAAGACTACCATTGTACAAATAATTTTCAGATATGAATATAAAATACCTTTTTCTGGAGATTTAGCAGCGTTAGAATTTCTTTTCTTAATTCAAGATTTTCAGCACAGACTGCCTTTGCTGGAACCTTTGGCTTTAACTTAACCTGTAAATGATTAATATAATTTAAACAAATTTCAGGAAGATGTTAAAGCAAATAATGAAGAATGTTTGCAGGATTTAGAATTGAATTACAAGCAAATGGCTAGAAATAAGGAGCAAAGGATCTATTTCAGCCTAAATTGATGATAATTATTATAAGTAATAAAACAGGGTAATCTTACAATGGCAAAAATCACAAATTAGCATACTCAAGTTGAGAAAAATGCGTTTTATTGAATCCTGAATCTCAACACCATCTCCAATAAAACCAGTTTCATCTAAAAACATGAAAAGACCTTACAATTTGAGAAATCAAGATTGAACAGGTTCGTAATATGAAATCCTATGATAAAAACTTACACGCACATAGAGGAACCTTCATGTGTAGAGATCGCAATTAGAATAAGCAACCATTATAGAAAGAGTTTTCATGTCTGGTCATCATACATTTAATACAACATTATCCACCCATAACTGATAGAAGAACGTACATGCACATAATTAAAATTTCAGGGAGCAGAGACGAACCCCAAGGTCTTGTAAGGTTTGCTCAACTCGCTTGATGGTCCGAATTCCAGCAGATGAGCTTGCAGCTTGGACCATTTGCTCCAGTGCATATGTTCTCAAATATACCCAAAGCTGAAAATTATATCAAAGCAGTCAGAGAACCCTACAAGAGCAAAAGAACCAGTAACAAATTTTAGAAAATCAACAGAAGCTTTCTTCCATACGAATTTCCAAGAAGTAATCGCCTTATTACTAATCAGACCATAAAAATATTGGAAGTTTTACTGTATCAAAAGGGAGAACATATAGTATAAGTCAAAAGTTTTACTGATAACAGTTGTCATTTCTCATTCTGAATTTTATTTTTATTCTTTGATGGAGAGAGAAAGAGATGAGAAAACGGAAGACCACATGCTGCACATACCATATGCAAGGACGCAAGAGTAGAAGAATTATCAGCAATTACTGAGGTAGAAGGTGCAGCAGGAACTTGAACATTGGATGGAGATATAGTATCTCCAGGACCGATAGCCCTCTCAGCACTTTCAGGAACAATATCTGAGGTGACGGGTAAATCAGGTTCTTCAGCAACCTGAACAGTATATACATTAGAAAGCTATATTATTCTAGACTCTAGAAAATCCAGGTGCAATAACATCAGCAAGAACACAAAAAACACAGAACCCTATGATTTCAGCTGTATTCCAACTCAAGCATACAACATCATGTGACTATCAAATCAAGTTGGAAATCTTATGCCTTTAGGCTTCAGTTGAAAATTCAAGTGACATTCAGGGACATCATATTTGAAATCCAGCAATGACAATTGCAACTTCCACAATAGCAGCTTGTTCAGCTGATACATACCCGTGCAGCCATACGCGACTTAGCTATTCTTTTTGCTTCAGCAAGAACCTGCAGAATAAAACCATAGGCCAGTGAAGAACTCTAGTTATTCAACCAACAAACAATACACAAATAAATGAAGGGAAAATCACATGATAAACAGAAGTAAAATGTTCCAAAGAAAAAAATATGCACCTCAGCATCTTTCCGCTCTTGGTGTTTTGTTTGAGAGAGGACCATTGATAAAGCACGCTTGCGTTCAATCTCTTGAGTAACATTGTAAGGTTCCTATACCCAAAGAATAATATCAGAGATACTGTATAACAATTGAAAGTAAATAATTTTCTAGAGTAACATTATATTGAAACCAGACCTTAATTAGCAAGAGAATGCCCTGCAACTTCGCCAGGAGATGGAGCCCTAGCAAACAGAATGGCACGAGACACTACATAAAGATAGAGCCATACTCAACACGAAAACCATATAAATCTCAAAGATTGATTAAAACAAAATTAAAGAGATCCAAACTGTGAAAAGAAGAGCAAGAAAGTATTTGAATGATTGACAATAGGTAGTCCAGAAATTAGACAGAGTACCACTATAATAACGATCCTTCAGTTCCTCCACAGTACAGGGCGTTGGAAACCTATCAGCTATAATGATGAAGCGGAGATCAAACCATTCGCACAAGTCAAACAATTGATCTGTCTCTTCCTTAGTCCATTTCTAATTATCAAGGTAAAAAAGAAGAAAAAGAAAAAGAAATAACCAGACCAACTGAATCAATGGAAGCACAAATGCATGCCCCGATTTTACCTTCTACCAAGACTATTTCAAATTTTCAAACAGACAAAAACGGAAACAAATTTTCGCAGAAACATAAAAACAAGAGCTGCAACCTCAAGTTGATACATACAGGGTCAGTTAAATATCTTTCATACGCCTCATATCATACGTGTATCTGATAACATGAACAGACTGCACCAGACAAACAAACATGTTCAATTTCATAATGTTCAATTGCATGATTCATTTATACCCCCAGTAACGACACTTGTTGCCCTCATACTTCGAAAGGAAAAATAATAATTTTAGTCTTTAGTTATTTTTTGGGTAAAGTACACAAATGGTCCTGTGACTATAGGGTGATGCTTTGTTGAGTCTCCTGACTATTAAAAGTTACAAAATAGTCATTCGACTATAGGACGTTGCTTTGTTGAGTTCTCCAACTCTTAAAAGTTACAAAACTCGTCTTTTTCCGTAAAAAGTTGGTAGTCGTATAAACTAGACATTACTTGTTGATTGGGAGAAATCAACTAGTCTGCTGATAATTTAGCCAAACTTTTCGATCCACGGCTATTTCAACGATGACCTTTACCGAACTTCTCTCCATAATCCATAAACTTATTGATAGGGACATTTCTAGTCCCAAAATTTGTACGGCTACATAACATTCGTCTATATCTCTTATGATTAAAAAAAAAAACTAAAATCTCAATCTTATTAAATAGAAGGAAGACATTTGTAATTATTATTTACTAGCCTTTGATACAATCTTGATAACTTTGGATATGATTCGAATGACTTTGATATAATTTTGAAAATTATAACGGATTTAACTTGTAAATTATAGGTGGCATCTATAGCGTGTATCCTTATTAATATATGAAACAAAATTACTTAATTATATATTTTTAAAAATATAATGTAAAATTATCTTAAAATTATAAAATAATTGAATTTGTGTATATTTATTTGTAATTATATATATAATATGTTTAGGTAACCATTATAATCAACAAAATTTGTTACATTCTTCAAATTTTAAGAATATGAATGAGAATTAAAATAATTATACGTTTACTAAATCATAATATCTTTAAAAAGTTATTTATTATTTAAATAATCAATTTTATTGAATTGTACTACGCAATTACACTTTAGCAATTGAATACGTTTAGAGAATTATAATTTTTTATTATTATTATAAAAGAACGTAATCTTAATAATTACACTTCCAGATATCCAAATACATTGTCACATGTATATAATGTTTATTTATTTTTATGAATTGCACAGACTCGAGCAATGGTTTTCCAATTTTCATAATAGGTTTGAAACTATATATATATATATTTAAACGGTTTGAGGTAATTATATGTTCGTAATTTTTTTAATTATTGACAACAAGTGTACACCTTGTAGATATGATTCTTCGAATTTAAATTTTTAAATAAAATAATTTAATATAACAAATATTTTAAAAAATAATATATGTATATCTTAATTAAGACAATAAAATCATCATTGCTAACGTAAGCGGTGACGGCATTGGTGATAGAGAAACAAGTCCTTCAAAGAAAAAATCAAACGTTTACTTGGTAGGCTTAACACACTTGGCTCTTGTATTTCATTTGTTTTAAAAGAACAATGATAATTGGTATACCATAATCATATTAAAGCCAATTATCAAATATTTTATTTTAATTTTTATGTAAATTATATGTTTATTTATTTAACATATGATTTAAACATAAATAAATATCTTAAATTCAAATAGGATTATAAAGATAATAAATATTTTTACATCATATTATTATCTTAATTGAATACAATATAAAAGTACTCTCTGGATCAACAATAAATAAAGAGGTATTCCTCCAAGTCTCCATATTATTTATTATCTTAGATTAACTTAAATATGGGGAAATTATCTCAATATATAAAATCCATGAATTATCATGTTTTTATTGCAGGTCTGAAAATCCTTTTAGCCCAAAGAACATTCTTCAATTTCAACGCTGTACCAAAAATGAGATAAACAATAACCAAATACGAAAGTAAACGCTATTCGATTTGATTAAAAAAATTAATTTTTTTTGGTTTAAATCAATTAAAAAATATTCTATTTAAATTGACTCAATTCATAATTTTATAAACTTACTTGACTTAAAAAATTTAAATTTCGAGTTAAGTTATAAAATAGAGCTCAAATAACTCCAATTTTTTTAGTAATTAATTGAATATTTTAAGTTTGAGTCGGATTCCTCATCTCTGTATGATATATATTTATCACATGAAAAAAATATGAAAAAATATATGTATTGTATTTGATTATAGGAAATCGTTTAAATTATAATCAAATAGTATCATATTATTATAAATATTTACAATAAATTTAAACATAAACTCGAACAACTCGACTAACTCGAATTTTATAAACTCGAATCGACTTAAAAAATTTCAAATATTATTATAAATATTTTTAGTCATTATATTATATTTTTGCAGATCTGAATCTTTGTATTATTTTTTATTCAAAAGTTTTGCTCTTTATTAGTTTGTGTTCAGTTTTACTATTAATTGTTGATCTGATAGCTATAAAGATAAAATAAATTTTCAATCACTATGTTTATGGTTTTGATCAATTTGACTCTTAATCTTTAAAAATAAATACAATATTTTTAACTAAACAATATAATTTTATAATCATCTATATTTATAACTTTTTAAGGGTTAGGCGACGAAAGCTGTAAATGTAGAAGATTGAAAATTATTTTACCTTTTCTCATATGGTTAATAATTAACGAAAACGATTGAATATAGAAAATATATACTTATTTTTAATTAAACATTTTCTATACTTGAATTTAATGAAGTTAAATTACATTTATTAAATTTGAAATATAACCAAAACGATTGATCACTCAAAATTTGATTAAAGAATCAATTTTGATTGAATATAAAATTTCGGTGTTATCACACCACTATCCCGTGATTGTTTATATTAATATATTTTTTAAGAAGTAAATAAAAGGGAAAAAAGAAACATAATTGAGCAATGCAAATGGTATTATTTTCAGCATATACAGTAATGTTATAGCTCTATGTCAACCTGGATATTGTAGCGTGAAACATTTACGTTCCAAAATCTTCAGATTTTGTGGTGTTTACTGTTGGATACTCTATATGATGCCAACAAAATGGTGAAAAAGGTTTAAAATATAAAGCTTGATATAATGATGCGTCAGGTAAGCTAATTCAAATCATCGTCATAAAGCTGCCGTCTTAGGAACCAAATATTCTCTTCATTCCACACACTCTCCATGTAGTCTCCACCATCAATATTCCACAAAATTTCCGAGCATAAACCGGACCTGGTTTGCAAGCTATTCGGTTGTTCGAAACGTCTGATGAAGTGCCTGATAACTCGGGCAAGACACTCGGGTCGACTTGGACCGATCCACTTGTATTTTCATAGGTGATCTGATCGGTGGTTATGTTGCTGTAGGCGGTGGTGGAGGGTTGACCCGAGGGTGATTCAGATGAAGCACAGATTCGTTCAATTAGACGGGGAATCCAAACGTAACGCATGGTGTCCCTGAACTGTTTGCTGTTAACGTCACATTTAAGCTGCTTTGCCTGTTTCTGGACTCGTGTTCTCCAATAGTTCTTTATCTCGTTGTCGGTCCTCCCAGGCAAGTGTTGTGCGATTTTCGACCATCTTCAAGATCAAAACCAGACAACAATAAGTTTAGCTAAACTCTTCACAAAGTTTATTGAAAATGGGAGTCAAAACTCAAAATGTAAAAACCTGTTGCCCCATCGATAATGGAGTTGAAGAATCAATAGCTGTTCTTGGAGACTGATGTTCCCACGTCTCACTTCTGGTCTCAAATAGTTCAGCCATCTTAATCTGCAGCTTTTTCCGGTTCTTTTTAAACCTGATAAGCGAGCAACCGAATTCCATTGACCTTCACCATGAACACGAACATACGCCTTGAGCGTGAAGTCTTCTTCTTCTGTCCATGGACCTTTCCTTACGTCCATCACTTCTTCACTTTGTGGAGTTTCGGATACGAAACCACTCTCGTAAACATCCATTTGGAGAAGATGAAGAAATTTATGACTTTGTGTTTATTGTTGACGATACAAAGGATGAACTTACAGGAATGTGAGAGCAGAGGGGATATTATACAGAAAGCGGCAAAGATGGGATTGACTACAAAAAGTAAACAATTATTTCTTTTTATTCTTGTTTATCATAATAAACAAGGGGAAAAGGGGGCATGTATGTGATCAAAAGTAGAATTGGCAACGACCCATTTTGTGAATTTTCTCTTCGGCTTTTGACTGTCCGACTTTTCCATAATCTTATATTGGTCGCGTACACGCACAAATTGGACAAAATATTTGAATATGAACTATGAAGACCGAACATTAGTCCACGAGAGAAATAAAGAAGTTTTCTCCCAGGCAAGTTGTCTTTGTTTTATTGTTACTTACTGCCGTGGTTTGCATCTGTTGTACCGATTGATGATATGAAATTTATTACATTATAAATATTACAGTAACTCAGGGAGAATACATATTTCTAATTTCTTTTCCTTTTTCCTACAAGTAAAAAGAAAACTACATAATCAATTAGTTTTTTCAGTAACTTGAAGTTAAGAAATCCATCAGATTTGATAAAATATGTTGCAACTTAGACAACTTACACCAAGCTGAATGCTGACGGTATTGTATATGAAAAACGAGTAGCAATGGTCCTAGAGGCAAATGCTTGAATCTTGTTCCTGCATCTGAATTTACAGAGGAAAAAGAAAAACCAGCTTTTAAGAGCATAGAAATGGTATTAACTGCTGCTGAGAAATAGCTGCCCAGCACCAGAGATGTATATTAATATAACACTATGACTGCCATGATGTATATTAATAACTCTATCACTCTTTAGCATCCTATAACGGCATCAAAACTAACAGTAGTTTTCTATTCCTTATAACAGTAGTTGGAATTGGAAGAAAATCATGTAACTAAGAGAACAAGCTTAAAGGAAGGGTCAGAGTCTATCCTTTGACCCTTCTCGCTCCTATAAAATTTCCCTGGTTCTTGCAGGAAATGTTGTTAGTTTTTCAACAAATTGGACCCTGCTGGGGACTGGGGCCTTTGCTGTTAGGCTAATAATAAACCTTGCGTTAAACTATTCGAAATCCATCTTAGGCCTGAGCCACAGTATTAAAAAAAATTGGGTCTTAACTTTGGTCAAACAGCTATTTTATTCCCGAAACCGGACAGGTGAAAGAAAAGAATAAAAGAGTTCCCTTGCATCAGTTTTCTATTCCATACAACAGTAGTTGAAATTGAAAGAAAATCATGTAACTAAGAGAACAAGCTTAAGGACTTATCACTGAAGTAAATGGACGATATGTTTGGCCTTTTACTGGAGAAAATATGTTGGTTATTGCTTAGTTGTTACTTGAGTTGCAAGGCGGTCTGTAACTGGATGTAGAATTGGAACAACAACAGGTGAGCAAAATGCAGAGAAAATTTGTTTGCGTGGTTTAGAACAATTCGTGCATTTACGGAGCCTTACTTGAAGATAAATCCACTATCAAACTCTTAGTACAAGACATGATTCAAACCCAACCAAATCTCTCAAATTTTGTAACCTACTAAGGTTTTAACAACTACCATAAAGAACAGGATAAGTAAGCTCTCATAAACACCTTACTATTAAAGAACAAAACACCTCTTACAAGAAGTAATAAACAAATAATTACATAAAGGACAATAGTCTTTATGCAGTATATGTTGATGTATTTTGAGTATGATATTGGAAAACAAATACGTGTTGTGTATTAGTTGTAATGATGTCTTTTAGTTGTTTTCGAGTCTGTTTTAAGTGTTTCTTTTACACTAATGTTTGACAGATCTATTATTTCAAGCTATATTGTATTTTGTAATCCATTTAATGAAAATGTTAGAATGATGAGAGTGTACTGCATGGAGCCTCTCCATCATATTTTCAAAAACTGTTTGTATTCCTTTCTTCTTTTTCATGTCTTCTTTTCTTCTGTTTTAAAACGTATTTGCAGTAAAACATTAACAATATATATATATATATATATATATATATATATATATATATCTCTCCGCTCATAGAGATTCCTTTTCAGTATAGCTTTATTTCAAAGTGCTTGAACTTCATGAAGGATTGCAACTCTTTAATGCAGCTGATAAATTTCATGAGAATCAGCTTCCAAATCTTCATGATAAAGATGATAAAAACATATCCCTTTAATTAAACAAAGTATCTTTATAAAAGAGAAAGATCAAGTCCCATTAAATAAGAATTCTCTATAATCTAATTTTGCATTACAAATCAAAATACTTACATTTGTTGTCTAATTAAGATGTCAACATTGGCATCACTGCTAATGTTGTCAGTCAGCTATTTGTTACGCCAATTGCAACTCGGTGTAAGTCGAGAGCAGTTTGCGTTGAAAATTGGCAATTTGGAAAAGAATAATTTGATATTTGGGTATATTGTTAAAAGTCAAATAATTTAGGCACCAAATGGTGGTTTGTCAAGTCAAAAATTAGGCACCTAATTTTTGTTGAAATTGGGTAATGGGATAATTAATTTTAGTCATTGTAATTTAGGGTATTTATAAGATTAGTCCTTAAGTTTCAACTATAAATACCCTAGCTCATTTAGCTTCAAAATCATCCCAAAGCATTCTAGCTTTTTCCAATACTAGAGAGATTTTAGAGAGTTTCTTGAGAGTTGTTTTCTCTTTTTATCTAGAGATAATTATCATTGTTTTCTCCTTCGTAGATCGAGAGAGGTTGTAATTCCTATTTTCTCATAGTGAAATTCTTCTACCGTTGCCCGTGGTTTTTACCCTAAATTTTTAGGGGTTTTCCACGTAAATTTTGTGTCTCTTTTATCTTCATTTTTATTTTCTTAAATTATCAGTTGCGATTTTGCTCTATCCGATAGCCGTCTTCCGCAACAATTGGTATCCGAGCCAGATTTGAGTGTGTAATATCTGCTTATTGTCTTTGTGGTTGCCACCAAAAGGTGGATCCTCCAACATAAGAAAATAAGAAGGTATTACCCATTCTTTGAGGTTCTAAAAAAATATTCACGATAGTGAAATAGTGGGAGCTATCAATAATAGAAGCTATGTCAACGAAATTTGATATTGAAAAATTCAATGGGAGAAATTTCTCATTGTGGAAATTGAAGATGAAGGCCATCCTGAGGAAAGACGGTTGTCTAGCAACTATCAGTGAAAAGCCAGTGGATTTCACAGATGACAACAAATGGATCGAAATGGACGGGAATGCTATGGCAAACTTTCATCTAACATTAGCAGATGAAGTATTGTCAAGCATCGAGGAGAAGAAGACAGCTAAGGAGATATGGGACCATCTCACCAAATTGTACGAGGCCACATCGCTGCACAATAAAATTTTCCTTAAGACAAAATTGTACACTCTCCGTATGCCAGAATCTACTTCAGTGACGGAGCACTTAAATACACTGAATACTTTATTTTCTCAGCTTACATCCTTAAGTTGTAAAATAGGAGAACAAGAACGTGCTGAACTTCTACTTCAAAGTCTACCGGATTCGTATGATCAACTCATCATCAACTTGACAAACAGTAATGTCACTAGTCTAATATTTGATGATGTTGCAGCTGCTGTTCTACAAGAAGAAAATCGGCGCAAGAACAAGGAAGACAGACAAGTAAATCTGCAACAAGCAGAAGCGTTGACAACGATGACAACGATGAGAGGAAGATCAACAGAACGTGGCCAAAGCAGCAGTCACAAACATGGTAGATCGAAGTCGAGGAGCAAGAAGAATTTAAAGTGTTACAACTGTGGAAAGAATGGTCATTTGAAGAAGGATTGTTGGAGTCTAAATAAAAACTCCAATCCACAAGGCAATACCGCAAACACTTCAGATGATGGAGATGCTCTATGCTGTGAAGCGTCAACCACCGTGGAAGGAAGAAAACGATTTGCAGATATATGGCTCATTGATTCGGGAGCAACATATCACATGACCTCAAGAAGAGAATGGTTCCATCATTATGAACCTGTCTCAGGAGGATCTGTTTATAGTTGCAATGATCATGCCTTAGAGATCGTTGGCGTGGGAACCATCAAATTGAAGATGTATGACGGAACAATTAAAGTTGTTTGAGATGTGCGGCACGTGAAAGGCCTGAAGAAAAATTTATTATCCTACGGATTGTTGGATAATAATGCTAGCAAGATTGAAACACGGAAAGGAATAATGAAGGTGTTCCGTGGAGCGCTTGTGGTGCTGAAAGGTGAAAAGATAGTTGCAAACTTGTACATGCTGAAGGGAGAGACATTGCTAGAAGCAGAAGCCTCTGTTGCCTCATGTAGTTCAGATTTTGCAATGTTATGGCATAAGAAACTTGGACACATGTCAGAACAAGGAATGAAAGTCCTTGTGGAGCAAAATCTACTTCCAGGCTTAACAAAGGTATCACTTACTTTGTGTGAGCATTGCATAACAAGTAAGCAGCACCGGTTGAAATTCAACACATCAAATTCTAGAGGCAAAAGTGTTATAGAATTGGTTCACTCTGACGTATGGCAAGCACCAGTAACGTCCCTAGGTGGAGAAAAATACTTTGTCTCATTTATTGATGACTACTCCAGGAGATGTTAGGTGCACCCTATTAAGAAGAAGTCAGACGTGTTTTCAACTTTCAAAAACTTCAAAGCACGGGTGGAACTTGATTCTGGAAATAAGATCAAGTGTTTCAGAACAAATAATGGAGGAGAATACACAAGCGAAGAATTTGATGACTTTTGCAGGAAAGAAGGCATCAAAAAGACAGTTCACAGTGGCGAACACTCCTCAACAAAATGGAGTGACAGAGCGGATGAACAGAACCTTGTTAGAAAGAACAAGAGCAATGTTGAGGGATGCAGGCCTAGAAAAATCATTCATGGCAGAAGCAGTCAATACCGCCTGTTATTTGGTGAATCGAGCTCCATCAACTGCAATAGAGCTGAAGACACCAATGGAGATGTGGACTGGAAAACCAGCTGATTATTCAAACCTCCATATATTTGGAAGTATAGTGTACGTGATGTACAACTCCCAAGAAATTTCAAAGTTGGATCCAAAATCCAGGAAATGCAAATTCTTGGGGTATGCTGATGGAGTAAAGGGGTATCGCTTGTGGGATCTCACTGCCCGCAAAGTGATCATTAGTAGAGATGTTATCTTTTTAGAAGATAAACTACAAAGAAAAGAAGACGATGATAGTGCTGAAAAGTCAGAGACTACTCAGATACATGTGGAAAAAGAGTTTGAAGAAGGAGATTCTTCTGAAGCAGAACCAGCACATGATGAACAAGAACCAGAGAGTTCTGAAGCTCCAACAACTCGTCAATCAGATCGTGTGAGAAGACGTCCCAATTGGCACTCAGATTATGTTATAGAAGGTAATATTGCATACTGCCTTTTAACAGAGGACGGTGAGCCATCAACATACCATGAGGCAATAAACAGCTCAGATGCTTCACTGTGGATTATGGCGATGCAAGAAGAAATTGAAGCCCTTAATAAAAATAATACATGGGACCTTGTGCCACTACCACAAGGAAGGAAGCCAATTGGTAACAAATGGGTCTTCAAAATCAAGCGAAATGGTGACGATCAAGTTGAGAGGTATCGTGCAAGACTGGTGGTCAAAGGATATGCTCAAAAAGAAGGTATTGATTTCAATGAAATATTTTCTCCTGTAGTTCGACTAACAACAGTTTGAGTAGTATTGGCAATGTGTGCTACATTGAACTTACATCTAGAGCAGCTAGATGTTAAAACATCTTTTCTTCATGGAAATCTTGAAGAAGAGATTTACATGCTCCAGCCTGAAGGTTTTGAAGAAAAAGAAAAGAAGAACTTGGTTTGCAGGTTGAACAAATCTCTGTACGGTCTAAAGCAGGCGCCGAGGTGTTGGTATAAGAGATTTGATTCCTTCATTATGTGCCTTGGATACAACAGACTTAATGCATACCCTTGTGCTTATTTCAAGAGGTCTGGTGATAACAATTTTGTTATATTACTGTTGTATGTGGATGACATGTTGGTTGCAGGACCCAACAAAGATCATATTGAAGAATTGAAGGCACAACTGGCTAGGGAATTTGAAATGAAGGACTTGGGATCAGCAAACAAGATTCTAGGGATGCAAATTCACCGAGACAGAAGTAATAGGAAGATTTGGCTTTCACAAAAGAATTACTTGAAGAAGATCTTGTCACGATTCAACATGCAAGATTGTAAGCCAATTTCTACCCCTCTTCCTATTAACTTCAAATTATCCTCCAGTATGAGTCCTAGCAGTGAAGAAGAGAGGATGAAGATGTCTCGAGTATCGTATGCATCAGCAGTGGGAAGTTTAATGTTCGCTATGATATGCACAAGACCAGACATTGCTGGATTTTGAAGCTATAATTTTGAAGCTAAATGAGCTAGGGTATTTATAAGATTAGTCCTTAAGTTTCAACTATAAATACCCTAGCTCATTTAGCTTCAAAATCATCCCAAAGCATTCTAGCTTTCTTCCAATACTAGAGAGATTTTAGAGAGTTTCTTGAGAGTTGTTTTCTCCTTTTTATCTAGAGAGAATTATCATTGTTTTCTCCTTGGTAGATCGAGAGAGGTTATAATTCCTATTTTCTCATAGTGAAATTCTTCTACCGTTGCCCGTGGTTTTTACCCTAAATTATTAGGGGTTTTCCACGTAAATTTTGTGTCTCTTTTATCTTCATTTTTATTTTCTCAAATTATCAGTTGCGATTTTGCTCTATCCGATAGTCGTCTTTCGCAACATATATATTGTATATGATTACATTAATTTTGGTGTTGCCGTAGAAAGTTTTAAAAAAAATGATCTAACTTGAGTGGGTAGATGTTCCATTCAATGGCTTCAAAGCTAAGACCACAATTTATCTTCTGAACCCTTAAACATACTGGGCGAGACGATAAAACCCTCAACGTCGTTCCTGCAATGTCTAACGCATTTGTCTTTGGGAACTTGGAATCATTCTTCTCGCGCATGCTGCACAAAATGGGCCAAGTTCTCCCAGAGGCAACTGTTGTCTTCATATACTCTTCGGCATATATCAACTTCGGCTCAGTTGTAACCCCACCCCATCTTTGGGAACTATTGCACTTTCTCTACTCAACTCTCATCTCCTTTGAACTAGCAGCTAGCAATTTCCTGGTTGTTGAAGAAATTCATTTATGGTCCAAAATTGTTCATTATATTTTGGTTTATATTGTTGTTTAATTCTTATGTTTTGTAAAAAAACAAATCAAAATTATAATTTATTTAAATATTTCGTACCCTGTCATTCTTGGTACTCGATTTTGAGACCTCGAGGTATAAAATCAATTCATTAATTACCACATAGGTCATTGGGGTTCGTGCTCCTTAAAATAATTAAGAGTGGTTAATGGGAACTCATCAAGTGACTTCAATTGTAAAAGAGAAAATTATTCTCGCTAGAAGTCCTGAGTTTGAGGAAATGAGTTTGACCCACATCGCGCATCTAACTTTGATAGGTGAATCTTTTGACAAGAATTTTATATTTATTTTATAATTTTTAAAAATTGATCTTAAAATAATTTAATAACCATTTATACACCTTGTCCCATACATAGGAACAACGTAATCTTCAAAAGTGAAATTCAACTAAATATCTAAAATAGAAAATAAAATTTCAATCTTTTTATAAGATTTGTAACTCATAAAATTCAATTATAAAAAAGCATGAAACTCTTATTTAAATTAAGATATATATAATTTTATACATACAAGTACAAGGATTTACAAAAATTCTTGGGTGCCGTACAACTTTAGTAACAGGGTCGAGAAATTGTTTTTAATATATAAAACCTTATGCGTCACTGAACTTATTCGTATTATCGTCATCATAAAGCTGCTGTCTTAAGAACCAAATATTCTCTTCATTCCACACACTCGTCATCGAATCTCCACATCTGTCGCCTCTAATCCAACCCAATCATCTATATTCCATGTGCCCGCTAAATATTCGGACCATAAACCCGACCCCTTTTCTAAGTTGTAAGCATAGTCTGAAACGCTCAGTGGATTGCAACAATATGCCAGGTCTGAAACGGAAGAGACTTGGGCATCCTGGGAGTCTGATGAAGTGCCTGATAACTCGGGCAAGATACTCGGGTCAACTTGGACCGGCCCGATTGTTGTATCTGCATGGCTGATGATTTGACAGGTGCTGGTGCTGCTGATACTATCCATGCAAGTTGCGGTGGTGGTGTAAGGTTGAACTGAGGGGGGTTGGGATGAAGCACAGATTCGTTCAATTAGACGGGGAATCCAAACGGAACGCATGGCGTCCCTGAACTGTTTGCTGTTAACTTCACATTTAAGCTGCTTCGCCAGTTTCTGGACTCTTGTTCTCCAATAGTTCTTAATCTCATTGTCGGTCCTTCCAGGCAGTTGTTGTGCGATTTTGGACCATCTTCATGATTAAAACCAGCCAATAAGTCTCGGTCATATGTTTGTTGAATTTGAAATGAAAGCAAAAATGGGAGTCAAAGTAAAAACCTGTTGCCCCATCGAGAATGGAGTTGAAGTATCAGTAGCTGCTCTTGGAGAGTAATGTTCCCACGTCTCAGTTCCGGTCGCAAATAGTTCATCCATCTCAATCTGCAGCTTTTGCCGCTTCTTTTTAATCCTATGCACATATATCATCTCAGTATCACAACAAATCATATGAAAATAACTTAAAAATGATGGGGTTATAACACTGTATATCGATTAACCTGATAAACTAGCAACTGAATTCCAGCGACCTTCGCCGTGAATATAGACATGTGATTTGAGCATGAAGTCTTCTTCTTCGGTCCATGGACCTTTCCGTACATCCATGTCAATGTGTGGAGTTTCAGATATTAAACCTCCCTCATAAATATCCATTTGTGAACTGAGAAATGGTTAGATCAAATAAGGGTAAGAATCTAAGAGATTAAAGCTTACTTACTATAGGATATTAAGGGTAGAGCGATTATATAGAGAGAGAGCAGTGCGTATTTTTTTTATTCTCGTAATTAGAACGCGCAACGACTCATTAGTTTCTGATTTGACTTGAAGTTGACCGTCTGACTTTTCCACCCCCTTCTTACACTCACGCAACTGGGCAAAACATTTTTAATATGGAGTATAAAACCCAGTGTGTTTTTTTCAAAGGATGATGATGACGACAAGTTGTGTTTGTTTATTATGACACATCCTATAGTTTCATCGTATTAAGCTGCGGTTTACAACGTGTGAAATTAATGGGCCAATACCCATCACTTTCCTTAAACCTTTTTAGGTTCATCTAACCCCCTTTTTACGGGCTAAGCATTACTCCACTAACGATTAAATATATTAAGGTTGTTTGAATTACGAAATATAATGCTTTTTGTAATAAAATTATTTATGATTTAGAATATTTTATGCCTTTAGAGATAACATTAAGAAATTATTAAGGTTTTGTCGGACATGATCTACAGAAGTTGTCAGTTTTCCATCAAACAAAGTCTTCAAACAGATCTTTCTGTTTATCGAAACTATCAAGGAACTGACATCTTCTGAACATATACTCTCACGTCGAACTTAATATAAAGATAAGACATCTGACATGTTCACATGATTTATCAAAACAAAATATAAAATCTGAAAACTAGGTAAATATGAAATTACCTTCAAAAAAATTTCTAGAAAGTGCATTTAAAAAGTGACTTTGAAAAAGTAAAGCCTAAAATTTTTGTGTTTGATATTATTATCAAAAAGTACTTTTGAAAAAAATATCAAATTTAGACCTAATATTCTAAATTAAAAATAAGTTAATTTAATGATAACTAAATTTACTAACATTATTATATATAAAATAAAACAATTTAAATTATAATAAAAATATAAAAACTTATGGCAATTCATTAATAATATTTTGATATATAAAATATAAATTTTAAATATTTTTAAGTAATTAATATAAATTATTGTCTTAAACGAACAAGTAGTCTTCGAATTATGTTTTTTTTACATCAATAAAATATGTCTACATAATTTTAAATAGTTGATATGTCTTGAATTATAAATTATGCTTATAAAATATTTGATCTCAACAAGTTCTCAATATTTATTTACACTGACGTAAGTTAATTATTTTTTCATTTAAGCTTAAATTATTTGTAAAATTTAATTAAATACATAAAATATATGTTAGATATTAAAATTATATAAAAATATAATCATTACATGTTCATAAAAAATTTAAAATAAAATAATTATATACTAACATAAGTATTGATAAAATATTATTTTTTATCTAATAAAAAACTTTAGATGATTATGTATAAAAAAATCTTTAAAGTTACATTAACTTATATCTAACTATAGAATTATTGAATGATATTAGTGGTTAAAAGAATGTTATCTAACAATCAATATTAAATGATTAAAAAAATATTATAAACATATATTATCTTATAACCACTCAAAATTTTAGGAAAAAACTTATATCTAACAATTAATATTAAAATTAATGGAAAAAATCAATATATAAGTGTACATTTGTATTAGTTTAAAAACTAATTAAAATTGATTAAGGATAAAAAAATGTAATTTCATTTCAAAAGTGTTCGTCTACAGTAAAAGTTGAAAATTTTAACTTTTTGTAGTTGGGTGGAAAAACACACTTTTAACTTTACAATACTTATGGGCGAAAAAACACTTTAATCACAAAAAAAAAAATCATTCTTACGTATAAATATTCATAATTATTATATGTCTGACACCATTAAATGATGGTCATTATATATATTTCTCAAGACGGTTAAGAGAGAGGTTGGAACTTCCACGATCTCTGTATAAGATTATTTTTCTTCGTCTTTATATCAATTCTCTCACCTACAAAAACATCAATTCTCTCTTCAATTACAATTTTCGTCCAAATTAAAATAGATGAACTATCAACGACCAATGATATCAATTTATTCCTATTAATAAATATGTATATCTATTAAATATAATATAAAATTTATTATTTGATTGCAATGTAAGAATAATTAAAAAAATAGTTAATTAAAAAAATATAATATAAAAAAATCTATTAAAATAGATGAACTATCAAAGATAAGCATCAGGTCAAAAGGGTAAAAAGGAAAGCTTGATTACCAAGTAATGTTTTGCGAATTTCTTTTTGTCCCTAAGATGGGAGTCAAGTGTCAAACCACATTTTTTTATTAATTTATTCCAGAATGTTCGCACCATTGCGTTTAGTCTTACACACACCTCAATCTTATCCAAACTATTTATTATTCTTATACCCTAACATACATCAACGATCTTTCAATTATAAGATATTGTTTTATTGAGCTTTCGATTATTAAAAATTATAAAATAATTTTATAAATATATGACGTTATTTTATTGAATCCACCGACAATTAAAAATTAAAAACTTATCATTCAACTATTCATATATATTATAAGTTTTTTCTTTTCTGTAAAAAAAAATTGATGGCAGACTTGCACACTTCAATCTTATCCAACCTATTTTTCATTCTTATACTGTTACTTCCACTCATCAATTTAAGTAAAATTCAACTGTTTGTTAATAAAAAATGTTTAATATTAATGAATAAAATTACTACTGCTTTACTTTAATATCTTCTTATTTTGTTTGATTTTCATGTAATTTCAGCCCAAAAAAGGAAAAAAAATAAAGTGGGCAACGGCCTAAAATATAGCTGATTTAAAAGGCATATCATTGAATATTAATGGGTATTTGGCAGGGCAAACAGTCAAATGTTAATGGAACTAAAAGCATGAGAATCGATTTAGTTGACCTTATCTTTGAATAAATGGCAACTTTCATAATTTTTCCAAACACCAATTATTTTTTACTTGTTATAAATAAAACGAAAAAGGAAGGAAGCTTTAAGGAGATATGTTTTGTAGGATGATTTATTTTAATTTTTAAATTTTATTATTTTCAAATCTCTTTAAAAAAATTAATAAATTCTCTCATCTTAAATTTACATTTTCTTTAAATATTTTAAATCTTTTATGGACAAATTTTATTACATAGGGATCTCTATAATTATTAGACATGTACCTAATTCTTCGTATTTATTATTTCCTTTATATATAAGCACAAACCCCAGTGGCTTCAGTGATAAAATGAATTGTTGTTATTTTTTTAGGTTCAGGGTTCGAGCACCAAGAATGTTAGAGGTATGAACGTTCAATATCAAAGAGTTAATTATCTTTAAACATATATTATATTGTATTTACCCTAAATTAATAAAAACATATTAGTAAATAAAAGTAATTACATTCACTACAAAGTAGTTTCAAAAGGATTACGACTCAAATTGTGCTTTATACCTTACATTTTCATCTGAAGCATTTTGTTTCATAAAATTATTTATTCGTATCTCATTTGTTTTACACTTGTATATGTTCGAACTAAACGATTAAAAATATCACATTCTAAAAGTTAATTTTACTTGAATATCATCTTTCTATATTAATCAACCATTTCAATATATATACCCTTCCGTATACTTATATTCAAAATCCTTAACTCCATTCATTATTTCAATGCAAGTTATATATACAAAACATTATCAATAATTTTTTTATTATAGTTTCATTATTTTCTTGTATTAACATAATTTATTGAGATTCTTTTATTTCTTTAATTTTTAAATACTTAAATCTCATTTAGTTGTATTATTAGTTATGTTTCGAGTCTCTACAGAAGTACTCGCCTCTATTATATAATCATCTATGTTATTTTATTAACTTTTTCTTACAAAAGATTGTATCTTTGAAATCAACACAGCTATCATGCTTTAGATATTATTTACATTTATTTTCTCTAACAATTTATTCTTATAGGCTTCAATTAATTTAGAGTATTTTTAGTTAGTATATGATACATAGTTATTCTCATTACGTCAATAAAAATATAAGATAGTTAACTTATCATGAATTATCTAACAATTGACCTATCATAAATTACTTTTTTTTGAATTTTGAGTTTTTATATTATTATATAAGAGGATTTAGATAAAATGTAAATCATTTAACATTAGTATTTAGTCATTCACAATAATAGTTGTTAACGTCGAGTTATTGATTTGTTATAAATTATAACGTTAGTGACCAAATCATTAGTTTTGAAACACCAATGGATAAAAACAAATTTACTCAAATACGAGTGACTATTTATGTAGTTTACCCTTAATTTTTTAGAATTCACATTTGGATCAGGTTTTTGATGAATGGTGTTGGGCCGGGTTTGGGATTGGAAAAAAAAACCTTCACCCGACCCTAAGATAATATTATACTTTTTATATACTTAGAAGTAATTGAAATAATAAATCTCTTTATATTATTTTTTAATGAGGTAATTATTTTACTTAATAAAAATGAAATTTTATATATATTTAGATCGAGTCAGATCAAGTGTAATTTTTTCTTCAAAAATCAAATCAAATTTTGGGTCAATCAATTCCTCTTATATTTATAATAACAAACCTTCATACAAATAATATGCAGAGAGTATACAAGGTGCATGGTGACCCATTTGACTAAAGTGATATTAACAAATAAAGATGCTTGAAAACCTTCACTATCCCCAACTCCATAGCAGATTCCAGAACCATTGATGTGAGAAGACAAATAGAAGCTTGTAGGAACAACGTCAGATATATCAGCTTCAGCTGTAGAAGCTTGACTATGATGAGGGTTGTGATGATGATGGTGTATGGTGTTGGGGATCAATTGATAGCTCCATCTTCATGTGGGGCGAAAGAGAAAAACCCAACAAATTATTATTGCTGCTTGTTGTATAGAGGCGTCATCTTCTTCTCTCTATCTCTCTTGCTTTGTGACTCATAAGTTTGGAGGAGTTATATTAAAAAACTTGCAGGTTCC